GAAATATGGTTTTTTATAAAGACAAGGTCGTTCTGATGGGAATGTTGCCAAAGTGACTATGCAATACAAGGTCATATGCATTTGTCAAAGCCCATAGAAAATCTCAATCTATCAATTCCATTGCAAATAGTGTTTTGTCAAACTTTGTTTTAAATATTTGGCAAATAAATTGATAGTCATTATATACTATATAATTAATGATTTTGTGACTATTTTAAAGTTACATTATAGGAGTGAAAATGAACAATTTATCATTTAATTATTGTTTATTGCCCTTGCCTACTCTACTTCATACTTTTTTGTTGTTGAGCCAACTACTCTTTATTTAGTAGAGCCAATAAGCCTTTGACTAAAATGTAAACTAAAAATGTTATCTCAAAAGAATAAACTATTAAGTTAAAAAAAACAGAACAACAGATACAAGGAATATTTGTAGTATATGCAAGCCACAAAGAAACCATAAAAATAAACAAGACTGAATGGAACCCAGAGTTAGACAAATGTGTGTAAATCTGGTACAGATGAGTCACAACCAACTGAAGTGAATGGAGTAGAAAAGTAGATGATCTAATACAATTATACCACACTGTTTTTATTACATACTTTGAGGTTAAAATAAATTTAAAAAACATGAAAAACCATATAAAATACAGTTCTCTAGTTTTATTTTTCTGCACTTAACATGTAAGGGTTGGCTTACATTAATTATCTAATTAGTGATCATTAATATGTCCTATGTAGGCTTTTTTGATTGTATATTTCACAAAAATGTCTAGAAAATCTCCCCAAATTCAAAGATTATTTTAGGCTTTGGGGGGGCGGGTGCGGAGTGGGAAAAGGAGCAGAGCCAGAGAGGATGGAATGCTCCCATTTGCTAGCTCACTCCTCTAAATGCATAAAAACAGCAAGGGCTTGTTCAGGCAGAAGCCAGGAACCAGGCACAATCCAAGTTTCCAAAGAACGTCAGGGACTAAACTACTTGACCCATCAACTGATGCCTCCCAGGGTGTGCATGAGACTGGAATTAGGGACAGAGCCAAGGTCTGAACCCAGGTACTCAGATATGGAATATGGGTACCTTAAATGCACCAAATACTCACCTTCATCATGGTTTTGACTTGTAATTCCTTGATAGTTGAATGATTTTAAACATTTTTTAATGTGCCTGTTGTCCATTTGTATGTCTTCCTTGGAGAAATGCTATTCAGATCTTATACCCACCTATTCACCAAGTTATTTGTTTGGCCAATGACTGTAGGAGTTCCTTGCATTATCTGGGTATTAACCATCTATCAGATATTAATTTTGCCAATATTTTATTCTATTACATATGTTGCCTTCAATTTGGGGGGATAAGAGAATCAGAATCTTTATTCACTAGTTGATTCCCCAAGTGACCACAACATCTAGTGCTGGGCTAGGCTGAAGTCAGGATCCTGAACTCCATTTGGGTTTTCTACATAGGTGGCACTGGTCCAAGTACTTGGGCCATGTTTCACTACTGAGTGCATTAGCAAGGAACTGGATGGAAATCAGAATATCTTGCACTTGGATCATGACTTGGAAATGGTACCTGAGTGTTTCAAGTGGTGACTTAATCCACAGCACTACAATGTCCACCCCTGTAGGTTGCCTTTTTAGTATGTCTCCTTTGCTGTATAGGAACTTTTTAGTCTGATGCAAGGATATGGAGAAATTGGAATGCACGTGCACTGTTGGTATGAATGCACATTTGTACAAGCATTATGGGAAATGTTTGGCAATGTCCCCTAAAATTAAAAATTCAATTACGATATGATTCAAGTATCTCATCTTGGGGTGTATGTCTAAAGGAAATGAAATCTGGATCTTAAGTTATTTACACCATCATTTTCATTACAAAATGTTCAAAACAGTCAAGATAGGAAGTCAGATGCATAATTATAATGCTCTCTCTATTGGTTGAATTGATAAAGGAAATCAGATACATACTTATAGCTCTACCTCTAACTATCTAACTCAGCCACAAAAAAAAGAATGATTTACCTTTCTACCTTTTTGTAACAGCATGGATTTACCTGAAGTATATTACAATAGGTAAAGTAAGTCAGGGAGACAAATTCTGCCTGATCTCATTTATATGTGAAATCTAAACAGGTCAAAGTAGAGAAGCAGAGCACAGAATACTGGTTACAAAAGATGGGGAAGGTGGACCTGCAGAAGGAAATTGAGAAATGTTGGTCAAATTATTTTTTGACAGGCAGAGTTAGACATTGAGAGAGAGAGAGAGACCGAGAAAAAGGTCTTCCTTCCGTTGGTTCACCCCCCCCAAATGGCCCCTAAGGCCAGTGCACTGCGGCGATCTGACACCAGGAGTCAGACGCTTCCTCCTGATCTCCCATGTGGGTGCAGGGCCCAGGCACTTGGGCCATCCTCCACTGCCTTCCCAGGCCACAGCAGAGAGCTGGACTGGAAGAAGAGCAACTGGGACAGAATCTGGCACCCCAACCGGGACTAGAACCTGTTGGTCAAATTTCGCTTTAAACTTTAAACTTTCAGTTAGTCAAGTAAGTAAATTAGTTTCAGAAATGTAATGTACAACATGGTAAATCAGTTAAAACAGTATAATACACACTTAAAAATTTTGACGATGTAGACCTCAATGTTCTCACCATGAGAAAAAATAAACAAAGAAAGAGGTTGAGGGAGAAAAACATGAAATCATGAATATATTAGACTGTCATAACCATTTCACAATATATCTATACAATATAAACACCTCAAATACATGCACTTCAACTTGTCAATTTGTAATTCAAAAAGTATAGTTAAGAGTGAATACAGCTTTGATGAAAGGAGATTTGAGAGTTTCTAAATTTATGGGAAGAACAAAAATAAGGAACGAGGCAATATGGAAGAGTTGAAGTTACATGGAATATCTTTGCTCAAGTGGAAAGATAAAACTCCAGTTATTTATAAATAACCATGATGTCACCTTAAACAGGACTTACATTGTCATTGTTGAATAATTCTATAGGAAAAAATGATTAATTTCTTAGCAAAGTGAAATATTTGAATCGTATTGATAAAAATATCAGAAATTGCATGTATTTAAACACCATGAAATCTGGCTCTAAGGAGCACATTTAACTTTGCTGGAAGTGAGATTTACCTGGACAGGTGCTGTGGTACTTTTATTTGAAGTAGCAGATGAGGCCACAGGCATTTGTAGAATTTGCACATATAACTGATTAAAATTGGCTGTTGTGCCCATTTCCACTGCTACGGGGATTGTGCTGAGACACCCCAGATGTTACTCTTTGGCAAACAGTTGTTATTTTTTTCTTTTTTTTGGTTTTGGGCTCAGAAGATTATCTTGAGTCTGGATATGTACCAAACTTAACTCTCTGAGCGTCTGGCCTCATTTAGTCAAGCTGATAATATAAATGGACTTCCTTACTAACAAGGTTATGTGTAAAATGACAGTTCATGTGGTCTGGGAATCCTTCATGAATAATCCTGCCTTTCTCACACAGGGTGATGCACTTCTTTGTTTAATGAATGATGGCTGCTTGCTGAACAGAAGGCTCCATGTTCAACATGGAGACAAATTTCTTAATTTACACTGTATGTTATAACTTCCTTTGGGCTCTGCTTGCTTTCATTTTAGTAAAAGATTTTAATAGATAATGAATAGCAGGCTGCTTTTTATCCAACAATGCTATTTGGCTAGTTTTATTTTTCTTTAAGTGTTTACGATGTCCCATTTCTTTTCTTTTCTACACTTTAATCTGTAGCTTTATTATTTTAATGTTTTTCATCTATTCACTTGGGCATTCCAACTATTTACTGAATTTTAGCAATAAAACATATAGATGTTGTGAATACATTTGTGTTCTATCATTCACCATCTTGGTTGGCTAATCATGGTTGATTTATGCAGCTAAAACATCTTCTTTGTGAACTGTGGGCATTTATAGTAGTGGTTAAAATGTTGGTGAAGATGCCCGTTACACAGCTCCCAGCTAATGTAGGCCCTGGAAACAGTAGGGATGGTTTAGGTGGGTTCCTGCCACCCATGTGGGAAACCTGGATGAAATGCACAGTTTGATGATGCAGCTGTTGCAGGACCTTGGGGAGTCCATCAGTAGACTAGACACACCCTGCCCCCCAGAGGGAGAATACATACACCAAATAAGCAAACTTTTTTTTTGGCTTGCAGTAATCTAAGTATATAAGATCCTACTCTTCACTCCAAAAACTTAAGAAGTTCTCTGAGCTACTGAATAGATATTTCTTCACACAAGCCAGTAGAGAGCTATTTCTCCAATTGATAGCCACATCACAAGGTCTAGAAACAACATTTATCTGGCTCAGTAAAGAAACCACAGCCAGCATGACATCCACTGTCGAAACAATCACTTAATTAACAACACAGTCCATTTTAATCTTTTATATTCTATCTCTATTTCCAGAGGTAGTGAAGGGAAAAGAAACAGGGTATTTGGGAGATATCACTTTGTATTCAAAGCTTTAAATGTGGCTCCATTCTCTGCAGTTCCACCCTATGGGCAGCATAGCTTCTGTTGACTTCAGGGGTCCCAATTTGACTGTTCTTAATGCTCTATTCTACTTGACAGGGAAACAAAAATGAGGGTCCTGTTAACTTCAAAGTATATACATACCAATTTTGTACTCAGAACAAAGGTCAGTAATCACAGGTTGGAGCTACAAATTCCTTGAACCTTCTGTGAGGCAGATTTTGGCTACAGTACCATTATCAAGTGTACATCACAGGTTGTAAGTCTAGGTTGGGGGTCATGATAGTATTTAAGGTAATGTAGGACTGCAGGTAGCTTCTGCATAGCTTGCAAAGTCCTTCCAAAGATCTAAGCACTCTCTTCTCCCAGTATACACAGTTGGTCTCATTAATGGCAGCAGGCACATTTGCAGAGGTGTTAGGAGAATATTGACTTGTTGTGCGATCAAATGTGTTATTATTTTTGTATTGAATTGCAATGTTATTCCTCAGACTCAGTCTCCATTTCAAATGACTGGAACTGGCCCAAACTTGGAAACTACAAGAAACTTGTGTTAACTAGGTTTTGCATTGTTTAGGTTTTACATGCTTAATTCTCCATTGTTGGTTACCCAACTCTCAAGCACCATTGTCTGCTAATGTATTCCTAGCTTCCATTTCTGCCCTACTACTTATGAAATTCTATACTCATTTTGTCTTTAATGTGCAAATAGCTTATTTTCACTTTTTAATCCATTGTCATATAAGTGATGTCTCATTTGCCTAGTTTGGGTTTTCCTGAAAACAAAATCTGGGATAAGGACAAACATAACAAATTATTTGGGAAGTGATTCCAGAAAGTTGGAAGGAGAAGGAAGAGAGCATAACCAAAAAGTAGTTAAAGCCTAACCATGCAGTCCTGAGGTTCTGTCTTGTGCTGTGGTGACCTGATTTGTCACACTTCTGAAGGGCTTCAGAATGCCTTCCAGGAGTATCTTCCTAAAGTAACAGAAGCTGAAATATTTAGCTACTGCTTCCATCACTCTGGCTGAGCTTTACCTAGAGGAGATGTTATTTCTTTTGCTCTCTGAACTACATGTGAACGAAGCATCCAGGAAAGTGTGGGGACAGAAAAGGCAAACACATGTATGGTCTACACTTCGAACCAAGTCCTCCATGCAAAATGAGTGTGAGCTTGTGAGCAACAGACCAGTGTATATCATATTGAAATAAAAAAATGGATCAATGGATATAAGGTGAAGTTTTTGCCCAAGATAACAAAAAGACTTTAGTCAAAGAAATCAGAGAATATTGTACTGTTAGCCCTTTCTGAATATTTTATAAGATGAATTTCCTCCAACCAGGACAGAACAGAGAAAACATGAACAAAATGAGCATCAGAATTCAGGATATTTTATTCGGGATCCAAGAGTCACATTATGATGAGATATGTGTGGAAAATTATATATAATAATCGTATATCCTGAGAAAATAAACTAATACAGATAGGTCATAGATATGAGCCAAAACATTTTGCTTAAATATGAAAGAACAAATTGTAAATGCCAATGTAAGGAAAGGCATGGCTGGAAACACTCTATACAAGGCAAACACATAAAACTAGTGGGTAGGTATTTTGGGGGTTAATATCCCTCCTCCATTTTTGATTTCAGTTTTCTCTTAATGTGTGAGGCGGCATGTGATAATTCGAGCACTTGAGTTGCTACTCCCCTTGAGGGAGACCTGGAGTGGGTTTCCAACTCCTGGCTTTGGTCTGGTCAAGCCCGGGCACTTAGGAGCATCTGGGTAGTGAAGCAGCACTTGGAATGTATTTGCTTCTCTGCTTTTCCAATAAAAGAAAATAACTTAATTTTTTAAAAAAGGTAAGTTTTAAAACCAAGAAAATCCTATGAATCCTTGTAAAACAAAGAAAATGAAACACAAAGGAAAATCAGGGTTAATATGAAACAATATGAGAGTTTTAAGCAAACATTTCAGTCCTCTTCATTAATATAAATGGCATTACTCACATATTAATGAGAACTTTCAGAATGGTTCCAGAAAAAGCAAACTGACTATTCTTTATATAATAGTCATCTCTGGAAAAAGTGGTCCACAAGGTCTAAGTATGAATAAGTTTGTATGTATGTATTTGTGTGTGTCTATTCTCCCAGCTTGTTCGAAAATCTCACAACATAAAGCAAAATTAGCATAATAGCAACAGTAAAAATGATTATCCAGATCGTTCTAAATAGAGTGCCCAAGTAAAAGGAACCAGAGATCTTTGGAGAAATGGTTGATAGCAGGCCTAGACAAGGAAAGGCCAGGTGGAGAGTAGAATACCTTGAGAGAGGAGGCATGGGGATGCTCAAAAATAGACAGGGGTAATGTCAAAAGTTCAAAGGATTTCTCTTTAAGGGCTCCTGTCAAATTTGTACAACAACAACATCAAAAAGAATAAATGATGGTAATGGATTTTTAACACTTAATCATTCATGAGTCTATAACAAGACTCAAATAAAAGCTGGGTTAAAATACTCTTTTCAGAACAAAACAAGCAATAAATGCACAGGAAAGATGGAACAAGGGAATTAAAAAATCACTGTTGGAAAACTCTCAAACTTAATGTTTGACACTGGTAATGATACAGGTAAAGATGATGAATAGATTCTTAAGTTGTTGGGTAAAAAACATTTGGGGGTCAAATACATTCAAGGAGTATCAGCTACACCCCATTGGTTGCTTATTAATTGCAAAATGTAAAAATGTACCTTACCTTTTTGGTGCATACAACCTAAACAAAAGTATCTAATCTGGCATTAGCAACATGGGAGAAATTGACATTACTTATCACTTGGTAGAATGCAATCTGAAACACAAGATATCAACTGCATAGCATTTTTTACTAAAGATTTAACCTGAGGGTAACTTAGTAGAAATCAATCAGACCTATTCTATGAGACATTCTGCAACATACAAGCTCTAGACGTTTTAAAAATGTCAATGCTATTATTGAGTTAGAGATAAAACAATTGCTGGTAGGGCATTGTTAAATCAAAATAAACAAATAAGACATTAAAATCAAAGGTGAAACATGAATCTTGATTGGCTCTTAAACACAAACTAATTTAAAAAGATATAAAGGGCTGCATTTGTCCAGGAATCTATCCATTTCTAATAGATTTCCCTGTTTGCTGGCATACAACTCTTTGTAGTAATTTCTGATGATTCTTTTTATTTCTGTGGTGTCTGTTGTTACATTTCCTTTTTCATCTCTGATTTTATTGATTTGGGTCTTTTCCTTTTTTAGATAAATGACCCAGTGGTGTGTCAATTTTATTCTTTTTTTCAAAAAAAAAAAAAAAAACCAGCTCTTTGTTTGGCTGATATTTTGTAATTTTTTGGATTCAATCCTGTTGATTTCTCTTTAATTATTTCTCTTCTCCTACTAGATTTGGGTCTGGTTTGCTGCAGATTTTCCAGATCCTTGAGATGCATTTAAAGCTCATTTATTTGGTGCCTTTCCAATTTCTTGATATAGGCACCTACTGCCATAAACTTTCCTCTCAGCACTGCTTTTGCTGTATCCCATAAGTTTTGATGTGTTGTTATCCTCATTTACTTCCAGAAAGTTTTTGATTTCTCTTTTGATTTCTTCTATGACCCAGAGTTCATTTAGGAGCATGTTGTTCAGTCTTCATGTGTTTGCATATGCTCTAGGGATTCCTAAGTTGCTAATTTCCAACATCATTCCACTGTGATCTGAGAAGCTGCATGGTACAATTCTAATGCTTTTGATTTTGCTGAGACTTGCTTTATGTGAATTAATGCTATAACTAGTACTCAAACAGTACTCAAACACTTTGTGTTTCTGTGTGGATGCAAACTGCTGAAATCTTTACTTAATATATACTAAATTGATCTTCTGTATATAAAGATAATTGAAAATGAATCTTGATGTGAATGGAATGGGAGAGGGAGTGGGAGATGGGAGGGTTGCTGGTGGGAGGGAAGTTATGAGGCGGGGGGAAGCCACTGTAATCCAAAAGCTGTACTTTGGAAATTTATATTTATTAAATAAAAGTGAAAAAAAGATATAAAGGGTATATTTTGGATAATCCAGGAAACTTGAAAAGATTATCTGTTAGGTAACATTTTATCAACATTAAAACTCTTGTTTGTGGCCAGCACTGTGGCTCAGTGGGTTAAGCTGCCATTTGCAGGGCCCACATCCCATAAGGGCACTTGTCTGAGTGCTCGCTGTTCCACTTCTGATCCAGGTCTCTATTAATGTACTTGAGAAAGCAGTGGAAGTTGGCCCCAGTGCTTAGGCACCTGTACCCACGTGGAAAACCTGAATGAAACTCCTAGCTCTTGGCTTTGGCCTGGCACAGCCCTGGCTGTTGCAGACATGTACATAGTGAAACAGCAGGTGGAAAAATCTCTCAGTATCCCTTTCTAATTTTGACTTTAAAATTAATAAATTTTTAGAAAATAATTTTCTTGTTGGTGGTTTATTATATATAGAACACATATTACAATCAGGTAGAATGGTGTCTTTATTCTTCAGAAATACATGTTGAAGCATCAGGGATGAGTTCCCATGCAATCTGTGAATTGAAATATTTCAACACAAAAATACAATCAAGTATATTCATGTATCATGCATGTGATTGTACAGAGACAAAGAGAAGTGAAAATACAAAATACTTTAATAACTGTTGAATCTAGGGAAAGAATATATCTTTTTAAAAAATTTTTATTTAATGAATACATTTTCACATAAATAAAACTTTTTTTTTTTTATTTTACATGCAGAGTTGACAGTGAGAGCGAGAGATAGAAAGAAAGGTCTTCCTTTTCTGTTGGTTCACTCCACAAGGGCTGCTGCGGCTGGCGTACCATGCTGATCCAAAGACAGGAGCCAGGTGCTTCTCCTGGTCTCCCATGCAGGTACAGAATCCAAAGACGTGGGCCATCCTCCACTGCACCCCCGGGCCACAGCAGAGAGCTGGACTGGAAGAGGAGCAACTGGGACAGAATATGGCACCCCAACCGGACTAGAACCCAGGCTGCCAGCACCACAGGCGGAGGATTAGCCTAGTGAGCCATGGTGCCGGCCCATAGATACAACTTTTACAACTCCTTTCCCACCTCCCATTCTCTTTCCCATCTCCTTCTTCTTTGTGGATCATTTTTAGTATGACTTTATATGCAGGTGACCAACTCTATGCTTATCATAGACTGCAACAATTTGCACCCACACCCACACACAATACATAGAGTACAGTTTGGGGCAAGAATTTGCAGTCCATTCTCATATTACAATTCAATAGGGACATAGGTCCTACCTGGGAAGCAAGTGCACAGTGACTACTGTTGTTCCTTTAACAATTAACACTCTTTTTTTATGATGTCAGTGATCATCCAAGGCTCCTGCAGTGGGCTGCCAAGGCTCTGGAAGCCTTTCGTGACCATAGACTCTGTTGGTATTTGGACATGGCCATAAGCAAAGTGGATGTTCTCTTCTCCCTTCAGAGAGAGTGTCTCCTTCTTTGATGACTCTTTTTCTCTGAGGTCTAACAGAGATCCTCTGTGTAGGATTTTTTGTCACAGAGTCTTGTTTTTCCATGCCTGAATTGCTCTTGCAGGCCTTTCAGCCCCACCAGGAAGACTTAAGGGTTGATTCTGAGGTCAGAGTGTTATTTACTGTTAAAGTCATTCTAGGAGTCTGCTGTGTGGACTGCTTACTATGTTGGTCCTTCCTTCCTTTGTAATTCTATTATTTTTACTGGTACTTGATGTTATTTATATCATCTCTTTTAAACTTGGACCAATCTATCTGTTGCCTTTAACATTTAACATGATCATTGTAACAGTGAAGAATGCGTTTATACCACGGATTCTTATGGGTTTGGAGCCCCATGACTAGTTCTTAGGCTGTACCCTGAGAGGTAAGTCTATATGCCTGTATGCAGAACTATTCTGTTTTACAGTTTTATATTACCTTTTACATCTCTTATTCCTTCTCTTATTTTTAACTGGGATCTTTGTCCAATTGTAAAGCATATATCTTGAGCAATAATATTCTTTCAAATTTTCTGTAGATTTGAAATTTATTAAAAAGAGTAGGAAAAATCTCAATGCTTGGGAAAATATCAATGAATAAATTTCTTATCCTGCCATGAAAAGAAACAAAAGTAGCACTGTAGAAATCCTTAATAGCTCTCATTCTAGTCATTTTATCTGTTGGTTTAAAACACATTTTGGAGATATCAAGATGGCTGAATAGGGACAAGTTGCACTGATGTCAATAGCCACAGACAGATAGCAAAATAAAAAAGGAAGAACCACATTCCCAGATGTGGATAATGAACAGAACACAGACTCCATGGAGCAGTGGGGAGAGACAGCAGACACACAGCCATTGGCCACATGCTCCAGTGCCACCTGCATGTTTAGAAAGTGTTCAGCTAGGAAGCATCGTATTTCCAGGCAAGGTGAGAGAAGACAGCAGCAGCTTTGGCTGAGGGGGAACTCCATGGTTCTCACTGGCTTTGAGTCTTGCCCGGGGAGCTGGAAGGCAGCTAAGAAATGATTTCACTCTGTGAAGGGTAAGCAGGATGCTTCTCTTCAAAGTGCTAGTCTCAATTTGCTGAGCTGGAACTGTAGCATCTCTATCTTGACTCAGAGAATGAGGGCAGCCTGGGCCACGGAGGGGCCAGTATGAAGGGCAGAGAGGAGACACCCAATGCACCTTTTAACTGAGAATTCTGGGCACAGGCCATAGAGCTTGTAGTGGTGCAAGTTGTGATTCAATTCCTATGCATGGTCAGACTTCATAAACTCACAGTTCCCTGTGCACTACAAACAGACCTCACATAGGGCTCAAAGGACACACCACAACATGGGTCAGTGTTCTGTATGGTGTATGTGCCTCAGCAGGTAGGGTTTAGAGGTGCTGTGAGCTCACTCTAGGCCATGACTCCCTGGTTCACCTGTCAGAAGAGGGGCTGGGATTGTGAACACACTAGCCAGCTCCAACATCTTCTCCTTCTGCTGACTGTTGACAGAGGTCCTACATCACATCCACGTTGGTTGTAAAACTTTCTAACTCCACACACAGATCATGGCCAGAGCTTCCTGGAACCACCCAATACAATCTCCTGGAACTCCGACTCAAGTCCTGGGCACTGCATTGACCCAGAGAAGCATATTTCTAAAAATGAAGCTTTCAGTAGTTAAAAAAAAAAGTTCCCCCAGAGGACATAACAAGTGATCACACAGACCCATAAAAATCAATGGAGTAACACAACAAACATGAACAAGATAGGTAATATGACTTCCCCAAAGAAACATTATAGCATATTACTGTTGGAGTGTGATAAAGGGGAGATTGCTGAAATGCCTGACAGGGAATTCAGAAGAATAACTGTAAACTTATACAAGAAAACAGAGAAAAAATTACATGAAATAAAGAAATCTGTATATGACATGGAATGGAAATTAAGCAAGGAGACAGATATACTAAAGAAAAACCAGACAGAAATATTAACAATGAACTCTTCAAGAAGTCTGATATCCCTCCAGCTCTCTTGGACTATTGGGGCTTATGTAGTCCCATATAACATTTGCTTTATAAAAAACAAAAGGAGGGAATGTTAGCATAAAAAAATAAGTCAGATGAAGAAGGAAATCTTCAATAGACTTGGTGAGGCAGAAGAGAGAATATCTTACCTAGAATAGGTCTTCTGAAATTTCTCATTCCGACAAAAAAATTAGAAAGACCAAATACACTATTTGAGATCTATATGATACTATGAAATGACTAAATATGTGAGTCTTAGGAGTTCCTGAAAATATGCAGAAAAATATGTCTTAGAAAACTTTTTCAGTGAAATAATAGAAAAAAAAATTCTCCAATCTGGATAATGAAGTGGACATTCAAATACAGGAAGCACAGGGAACTCAGAACAGGATAATCAGAAAAGGTCCTGACCATGACACATTACAGTCAAACTTTCAAAGTAAAACATACATGCAAGAGAGAAATGCCAGGTCACCTTTGAAGGATATCCCATTTAATTAATAGATTTCTTAGCAATAATCCTACAGGCTAGGAGAAAATGGATAGATATAGCCAAAGTCCTAAAGGAAAAATTAAAATGCCACCTAGAATACTTTATACTGTGAAGTGCTTGTTCATAAATGAAGGTGAAATAAAGACCTTCCAAAACAAGCAAATATTGAAAGAATTTTTTGCCACCTGGCCAGTCTAACCAATGATATACTTAATTATGTACTAAAAATAGAAGCAGATGGATATTCAGCATCATGAAAGGATGGAAGACAGGAAAAATCATAGTAACACAACAAAGAACAATTTAAACAAAAATAGTAATATTCATAGAAAAGTGACAGGAGCACATCATTGCTAATCAATAATAACCTAGAATGTAATCAAACTAAGTTATTCAATTAAAAGATACAGACTCGCTGAATGGATAAAAAACAAGAACTATCCATATACTTACTATAAGAAACATGCTTTGGCCAGCACTGTGGCTCAATAGGCTAATATTCTGCATGCGGCTCCGGCACACCGGGTTCTAGTCCCAGTCGGGGTGCCAGATTCTGTCCCTGTTGTCCCTCTTCCAGGCCAGTTCTCTGCTGTGGCCAGGGAGTGCAGTGGAGGATGGCCCAGGGGCTTGGGCCCTGCACCCCATGGGAGACCAGGATAAGTACCTGGCTCCTGGCTTCGGATCAGCATGATGCGCCGGCCGCAGCGGCCATTGGAGGGTTAACCGACGGCAAAAGGAAGACCTTTCTCTCTGTCTGTCTGTCTCTCTCACTGTCCACTCTGCCAGTCCAAAAACAAAAACAAAAAAAAAAAGAAGAAGAAGAAGAAGAAGAAGAAGAAGAAGAAGAAGAAGAAGAAGAAGAAACATGCTTAATCAATAAATACATGCACAGAATCAAAGTGAGCAGGAGTAGCTATTCTCATATCCAAAATATACTTTAAGACAAAAGCTGTTAAAAGAGACACATGTATAAAGTGATTAATGGATCAATTCACCCAGAATATGTGACTATTGTGAATGTTTATGTCACCAATACTAGGAAACCCAGTCTTATAAAAACAATTGTTAATGTATCTAAAGGAAAACACGAACTCCAATTCAATAATAATGTGAGGCTTCAATATCCCACTTTCACTAATGGATAGATCTAACATACAAAACACCAACAAAGAAACAACAACTAATTTATACTACAAACCAAATAGATCTAATTGCTACCTACAAAACATTTCATTCCACAGCTGCATAATACACACTCTTTTCACCAGTACATGGAATATTGTTTAGGACAGACCATTTAAAAGGCCATAAAACAAGTTTCAACAAAAACAAAAACAAAATTTAAATCATGTATCTTTTCAGATTACAATGAAATGAAACTGGATATTAAGAACAAAATAAACTCTAGAAAATATACAAACACATGGAAACTCAACAGCATGTTCCTGGATGAACACAGAAAAAATCAAAAGAGAAATTAAAAATCCTTGAAGTAAATGGAAATGGAAACATAACAATATGTCAAACTTACAGAATACAACAAAATCAGTATGAAAAAGGAAAGTTTATACCAACCAGAAAATTTGGAAAATTATCAAATAGGTTAAAAATGCATCTCAAGGACCCAGAAAAACAAAAACAAGCCAAGCCAAAAATTAGTAAGAAGAAAGAAACAATAAAAATTAGAGAAAAAATAAACAAAGTGGAGATAAAAAAAAAAACTATGCAAAAATCAGTGAAGAGCTGGTTTTTTGCAAAAATCTAAAACCATTGTCCAATTAAACAAAGTTAGGAAAGTACCTAAATTAAGAAAATCAGAGATAAAAAAGGAGATGATACAACGGATGCAATAAAAATAAAAATAATTAATTATTGCAAAGAACTATATGCCAACAACTTGGAAAATATGACTGAAATAGGTAATGATCTACACACATACCATTTACCAAAGAAATGATCTGGACACAATTCACTGAAATTGAAGAACACAGAAAATCTGAGTATACTAATAACCAAGACTGGGATTGGCTCAGTAATAAAGAGCCTCCGAACAAAGAAAAACTATGACCTGATGGCTTCACTGCTGATTACTACCAAACATTAAGGAAGAAAAATTCCCAATTACTTACATTATTAAAACTAATTGAAATGGAGGAGACTATTTCAAATTCACTTGATGAGGCCTGCATAACCTTGATTCCGAAACCACAGAAAAACAGCAAAAAAGAGTTATCAACCAATATCCCTGATGAACACCGATGCAAAAATCCTCAATACAATACTAGCAAAACAAATCCAACAATAAATCTAAATGATTACCTACTTGGACCATGTTGGATTTATCCTAGGGATGCAGGGATGGTTTAACACATATGGAGCCATAAACCTGATATATCACATCAACAACATGTGGGATAAAAACCATGTGGTTATCTAAGCAGATGTAAAGCGTTTGATAAAATGCAATGTACTGTCATGATGAAAACCTTAAAAAATTCTGTATCAAAGGAACATACTTCAACACAACAAGGCAATATATGACAAACCCATAGCCAACATCATACACAATGAAGAAAAGCTAGAAGCATTTCCACTAAGATCTGTTCCAGACAAGGATACCCACTCTCACCCACCATTATTATTCCATATACTTCTGGAAGTTTTTGCCAGAGTTATTAGGCAAGAAAAATATATCCAAAGGATACAAATTGAAAGGGAAATAGTGAAATTTTCCCTGTTTGCAGATGACATATTTATTTATATAGGGTACTAAAGACTCGAATAAGAAACAATTAGAACTCATCAGATAATGTGGAAAACTTACAGGATACAAACCAACGTAAAAAATCAATAGCATTCTTTTTTAAAAATTGATTTATCTTGAATGGCAGAGTTAGAGAGTTAGAAAGTTAGAGTCAGAGAGTGAGAGTGAGAGTAAGAGAGAGACACGGAGAGAAAGAGAGACAGAGAGAGAGAAAGAGAGAGAGAATTTTCCATCTACTGGTTTACTCCCTAGATGGTTACAACAGCTGAGGCCATGCCAGGCTGAAGCAAGGAGCTAGGAATTTCTTCAAGGTCTCCCATGTGGGTGGCAGAGGTCCAAACACTGGTCCAAGTTCCACCGCTTTTCCCAGGCCATTAGCAGGGAGCTAGATTGTAAGTAGAACAGCTGGGTCTTGAACTGGAACCCAGAGTCTGCCCACATCACAGGCAGCAGCTTTACCTGCTTTATCACAGTGCCAGCCTCCCATATGGCCTCTTAATAGCTGCACTAAATACCCATCTCTATGAAATACATTTTTAATTCAAAGACTATGAACTAATTAAGAAGTCAATATTATTAGCAATATTGGAAGTAAGGCAAAATTAGTACCAACTCTAAAATAAATTTTTGTATCATTTTTCATTAAAATATTTTCTAATATTGCAAGTATTTTCAGTGATTAAAGCAGGATTTTCTAGAATGCTTATAGAATATAAGCACAATAGGTTTTTGGGGTTTTCTGCTTTATTTTTGTGATTTTATGAAATTTATCATGAATGGATTAACTCATATAGCCATTAAACACATTACTTTAATTTTAGATAGGTATTTTTGGGGCCATTCTCTGTCCCTAATAACCTTGCTAATTTACTTCTCAAAATACCATTTTATTTACCTATATAATGAATAAATAATATTACCTATATCATATGTGGTTAATATTTTTAAAACATCCATGTAAAATAATAGTATTTTATTTAGCATATTGTGCACAATTTTCATTAGTTCAAATTAACAATAGGTACATAGGCATTATTTAATATGCTTGCAGTTTGGATTTAACTAATTAACAAATATCCTTATTCCATGTCCTATCAAGATGTCAGAATATTTGCTAACTTTCATCTACTCTCTGTAACAGATGGCCATCTTTAAATAAATACTTGACACCCTATATGCAAGACAATGTAATTTGGAAACTAATTAAAAGTCATTCATTTATTTCTTTTCTAGTTATGGAGCACTTGAATCATGGATTACACTAAAATCTGTTCAAATTTCTAGCAGTAGAAAGAAGGTTATTGAAAACACTGCAATGTAATTAATTGAGGCAAAATATATTCATAAAGTTGGAAATGCTCCCATTACATAGCAAAATCTCAGTATTTCACACTCCTAGGAGTGCTCTTCCACTTCCTTCTTTGTGCTTCATGATTTGGATTCAATCACATGCTGAAAAAAGTTATAGTCCTGGCTAGATAAGATGAGAAAATCACGATTGGAAGAGGATTGCCTGTTTTAACGTACTTTGTCCTTGTTCTTCACTGGACCTGTTACTTGGATGCAGATTTCTTATTTTCTATACGTTTTATTACTCCAGCCTTTTACCCTAGGTAACTGATTCATGCCTACAGTCTCAGTTTGGCGTTTTCTTACCTACCCTTCAGACAATGAAACCTCAAAGCTACCCACAGGACAGTCTAGCATTTATATATACATATTCACACATACATTTTTATGTGTGTGTATATTAAGATATATACCTCCTAAATATGAAAAAACTTGCCTAAACTCTCAGAGTTGTTGTTGGTGGAGAGAAATTTAAATCTCTAAAGCTATGATGTAGGTGTATTATCGAGTGTAATACTGTAAAATTATGAAATATGCATTGTTTACATAACTTTTCATTCTGATAATAGAGTTTCAATTAGAGATAACAAATTAAAAATCATAATCACCTAACATTACACAACAGTGAGTTCAGAGGTTATTTTGTACAATCTTTTCTGTAAAGGCAGGAACTTGACCTATCTCATCACTTACAGGATGTAATTCAAATTTTATCTTCAGTTGTTAAAAATGTGTCCCACCCGTCTTAAAAGTAAACACATCCACTGGAGCAATATCTGAAAGAAAAATCAATTCCTTAATTTGAAGTTTTCATTTTTCTCAGTACATCTGCTATCAGCCTACTTTTAGTTACAGATGTCTAATTTGCTAATCTGTGAGTGAACAGGTGTCTAAAGATCTGTTATCTGTCATCTACCTATATTTTCAAATTATATTAAAAAATAAATATTTAAAAAAAAAAAGCTGTGTGAGATGCCCACATGCCCTATCAGACTGCTTGGGTTCAAGGAATACGAAGAGACTAAACTCATAATATTTTAAGTATACATTGTTAGTAGACCACACTCCAAGAACATCAGAAGATCAAAAATATAAAATTAATCACATTTCAATCAAATGCCTTCTAATTGTCTTTTGCTTCCCAGCTGAATTTGACATACAGAAATAGCTATTTCTCACCTAAAAATGTGATTACCAACAGAGCGTTTTCATACTTTTACTTTTTTGGAAGCTCTTTCCATGTATGCCTTCCAAGTATCCCGAGCTGAAAAAATGACATTTTGGTTTCTGTCTTGAAAACTTCACAGAAAAATTTTCTGTTAAAACTGTGCTACTCCCTTATTTGCTAAAAAAATTAAGAAATGGGACAAGCATGTATTTTATCCTGGATTTATAAAACATATGCCTAACTTTATTATCTCCATCTACAATTTATTATAATAGGCATGTTTTTCTTTATTATGGTTGCAATGCTTTTTGCAATTGTTAGATATTTATCCAAAACTTTTAAAGGATTTCTTCATTCACATGAAAGGGAGAGTGACAAGAGGGAGAAACACATAGATCTTCCATCTACATGGTCATTCCTCAAATACCCACAACAACTGCGGAATGGAACCAAGAGTGAGGAACTTCAACCAGGTCTCCCATATGCATGGCAGGATCCTAAGTCCGTAGGCCACCAGCTTTTGCCTCCCAAGTTCATTAGCAGGAAACTGCACTGCAAGTGTGGAGTAGCCAGGACTCAAGTCAGGCACTCTGAAATGGGATGCAGCGCCCCAAGGAGCAACTCCACCCTCCATGTCACAATACCCACTTATCAACCTTCGATGCATAATAAAGCGATCATTTCTAATGCACCCCTTTCAGGTCTAAAATATAAAAAGAGAATAACAAAATAAAATGTCTTGTTAATGATTTCCTATCACAATAGAGAGAAACACAACCTGCTACTTTAAAATTTTTAAAATTTCTCTTTTAATGGTAAAAATAGGATTATCTTTCACTTTTGGGATTGTGAGAGTATAAGAATCATGAAATCTAAATATATTCCATAGAGGTAAGCACAACCTTTATATCTAGAAAACACACCAATTTTCTCGTTGAAATATGATAAAATCAGCATAATATACTCTTTGTTCAACATACATAAAACTATATTTCAAATAGCTGCAATAAAGAAGGAAGGTGTTCAGAGAGAACTTGACATTTTGCCCATGCCATGTTAGGAAAAGCAGATAAGAACACAATAGCTACTATTACAACTAGATCTCACCTAAATAATGGAAAAATAAGAGTTGACATGTTTTAGTTATCAGCATTTTACTTCTTTACTCAAAATATACATCAGGATCACATTTTCCCAAAATAAACCATTCCAACCAACTCCTTATAATAATGCATAGAGTGAAGATGTGAGGTAAGACAATACACAATAAGCTAAAGAAACAATCACCCACATAACTTTTATCTTTGTTTATAAATTCTTTTTATTTTTTATTTTACTTTGTCAGGGAGAGTTATAGACAGTGAGAGAGAGAGACAGACAGAGAGAAAGGTCTTCCTTCCGTTGGTTCACTCCCCAAATGGACGCCACGGCCAGCACAGTGCAGCTATCCGAAGCCAGGAGCCAGGTTCTTCTTCCTGGTCTCTCATGCAGGTGAAGGTCCCAAGGACTTGGGCTGTCCTCCACTAACCTCCCTGACAACAGCAGAGAGCTGGACTAGAAGAAAAGCAACCTGGACTAGAACCCTTTTCCCATATGGGATGCCGGTGCCACAGGCAGAGGATTAACCCTGTGTGCCACTGCGCCGGCCCCTAACTTTTATCTTGAACACAATTTTCATTCCTTTCTGATTGTTTCATTTGCTAAATTTATTTCATATATAAATAGGAGCTGTTGACCTGCTATACCCCAAGAAAGTTCATTCCATCTCTAATCAGAACTCCCCTAATTTAATTATTTCTGTTTGTTTCCTGCCAGTTAAAATTTGCTCATAATGCATGGTAGTTCAAACAGGAGTTATTTTTGTAAAATGGGTGTTTTAAAAACTCTATCCGCAGAGTAGTCAACCAATATTGATTATAAATATTAAATTTATTTCATTTACATGCTTTAATCAGTCATGGATATGAAATCCTATAAAAGATTTTTAATTACTAATTATCTGTGATTAACTCATTATGTCCCATTATCCTACTTTTATAGAACACCTATAGGCTTAAACTGGGCAACAAATATACTGCTGATGGTAAATTTGAAGTATTGTGTTGTTAAAATATGTACAGAGATAGGAAAAAGGGAAGATGGAGGAATAGTGAGGGTGCACACTGATAGTCAGGGAAAAGATAGTTTAATGAAAGTGGAGTTACTGTAGTCTCAGGGAAAGGCTCAGGAAAAAAAAATTGAAGAAACTCTTCCAGATCTAGTGGATGTGACATGGAGGACCTACGGGGAGAGCAAGGACGCCCAAGGCTTGGGAGCCCAGTCGCGGAGTCTATGCACCAGCGCTGGAAGGGGAGGTGAGTTCTGTAGCCTGAGACACTGTCAGGGAAATGGCAGAAAGAACCTAGAGGGAACGAGGCTTGAAGCCCCACCGGGGAAACTTCACCAGGCTAACTAGAGGAGAGAAAAAAATAAATAAATAAAAGGGACCAGCATGGACATGAGCCTCTCTCTCCACTCACCTTACAAAGGCAAGCAAGACAAAGAGCAGGTGCCATTTTGGACATATGTAAAGTGGCGCCCACCATCAACCAAGCAGAAAAATCTGACTCTGGTGGAGAGAAATTAAAGGAGGTTAGGACCTAGTGAAGGTGTGGCGCTAATGAACTGAGACTGTGAAAACGTGAGGGTGGGTGAGAGAACTCACAGAGTACACAAACTTGGTAACCTTGGCAACCCAGTGAAAGACTGTAAGGAAATTTAAAATAACACAGAGGACTGCACAGACCCTTTGTGTGGTCCTTGGGGGCAGAGCAGACAAATATTATACCCAAAGGGGCCAGATTTCATACATTGACTACCCTCAATTCCACTCAGCTGAGCGGAAATACTTCCCTTCTGAGTTAAAAAAAAAAAAAAAAAAAAGACAGAGAGCGAGCAAGAGGGAGAGAGAGAACAACCTGGGAGAGTCACCTTTGGCACACCCTTAACTCTGAAGAACCAAAAAGAACTGTCTGGCCACACCCATCACATGTATCTAAGGATCCATCAAAAGCAGGCAGTCCACTTAATCTAGAGTCATAGTATAACGAGAAAAAACACCACAGCATAAAAACCAAAGAATATATCCACAACACCAAGCAACAAATGCAGAAACCGAGGAAACCAGAGCAAGGAAGACACCATGATGCTCTCAAATGAACAAGACACCCCAATTCAAGATTATGAAGATGATGAGATAGAAGAAATGCAAGAAATGGATCTCAAAAAATTGATAAGAACATTAAGAGTTTCAAAAACAGATTCTCGAACTACGGAAGTCCTTACTGGACAGGATAGAAAATCTTTCTCGTAAAAATGAAATATTACGGAAGAATCAAAATGAAATGAAGCAGCTAGTAGAACATGAACAGTGATAGTGAAGAGAAATCATAAAGAAATGAAGAATTCAATAGATCAAATTACAAATATATTAGAGAGCCTTAAAAACAAAATGAGTAAGGAAAAGAGAGAATATCGGACTTAGAACAAAGCACAGGAAAGTATACAGTCAAAGCAAAGAAAAGAGGAGGAAATTAGAAATCTAAAAAATATCGTCGGAACACCATCAAATTATTAGAGAACATTGGAAAAACCCTGCAAGATATAGGCACCGGCAAAGAATTCTTGGAAAACACCCCAGAAGCACAGGCAGTCAAAGCCAAAATTAACTATTGCAGTTGCATCAAATTGAGAAGTTTCTGTACTGCAAAAGAAAACAGTCAGGAAAGTGAAGAGACAACCGACAGAATGGGAAAACATATTTGGAAACTATGCAACTGATAAAGGGTTGATAACCAGAATCTACAAAGAGATCAAGAAACTCCACAACAACAAAACCAACAACCCACTTAAGAGATGGGACAAGGACCTCAATAGACATTTTTCAAAAGAGGAAATCCAAATGGCCAACAGGCACATGAAAAAATGTTCAAGATCACTAGCCATCAGGGAAATGCAAATCAAAACCACAATGAGATTTCACCTCACCCCGGCTAGAATGGCTCACATTCAGAAATCTACCAACAATAGATGCTGGTGAGGATGTGGGGAAAAAGGGACACTAACCCACTGTTGGTGGGAATGCAAATTGGTTAAGCCATATGGAAGTCAGTCTGCAGATTCCTCAGAAACCTGAATATAACACTACCTTACAACCCAGCCATCCCACTCCTTGGAATTTTCCCAAAGGAAATGAAATTGGCAAACAAACAAACTGTCTGCACCTTAATGTTTATTGCAGCTCAATTCACAATAGCTAAGACCTGGAGTCAACCCAAATGCCCATCAACAGTAGACTGGATAAAGAAATTATGGGACATGTACTCTATAGAATACTATACAGCAGTCAAAAACAACGAAACCTAGTCATTTGCAACAAGATGGAGGAATTTGGAAAACATCATGCTGAGTGAACTAAGCCAGTCCCAAAGGGACAAATATCATATGTTCTCCCTGATTGGCGACTACTAACTGAGCACCAAAGGAGAAATGTGTTGAAGTGAAATGGACACTATGAGAAACAATGACTTGATCAGCCCTTGTCCTGACTGTGATGTAAAATGTAATACT